ACAATGATGGATGTAAGATGTGACGGTGTAGTTAGTTGTATATAACGGCGTACAAGGATGGATGTGATGTGACGGTGTTATAAGTTGTATATAGCGGTGTACAAGGATGGATGTAAGACGTGACGGTGTGATAAGTTGTATTTCTCTAATTCTTCGTCAATTTATCCCTTTCTGCACCCATTGTATAAAAAAAAATTAATCAACGTGTGGTTCGTTTGATCTCAGTTCTTCATTGGTTAAAATCCGATTATGACGTCGAATTTTCTTGCTTTCCTCTGAATTTCCTATTGTGACGGCATGAAAAAAGGCGATGCATGCCTGATGACGTCACATAGAAAGAACACATCTTATTGCAGATCATTCAAAAAGAAGGAATAAGTTTGCCTGCATATTGTTTGAAAATCATTAGAAAAACAGATTCCACCACTAAATCTCGTGTAATACTATATTTATCCACTCTCGACAGTTAAATTTTAAATATTTAAAACGCTCGGCGAGCCTTGCGTTTTAAATTTGAAAATTTAACTGTCTCGAGTGGATAAATATCGTATCACACTCGATGCAGTGGTAGAATCTATATATAACGGTGTACAAGGATTGATGTTAGATGTTAGATGTTACGGTGTTATAAGTTGTATATAATCGGGTACAAGGATGGATGTAAGATGTGACGGTGTAATCAGTTGTATATAACGGGATACAATGACAAATATAAGATGTGACACTGTTGTAAGGGTACAATCATGACAAATATAAGATTTGACACTGTTGTACGGGTACAATGTCATTTGGTCTCTTGTGGAGAGTTGTCTCATTGGCAATAATACCACATCTTCTAATTTTTATATTCATAGTAAATATTACTAAATATCTATCTAATCTTGTTCGAATTTTAAACACATGACATTGTATGTATGTACACATGCCTAGCGCAATGGTAACTCATTACGATATGAACGCACATACAAGCTCTGAATATATACGAGTACAGTCCTTAAATCTAAGTGAATCATGATATGGATGCTCGGGTTTGTATAGCTACGGTTTAAAGCAGAGAACATGTCTGGGTATGATAAAGATCATTATAGGATTAAACTCATTTTTTCTAGAGGTTATTGATGTGTAAACTTGGTCGATTAACTCACAAAATTATTTTTTTAGTTTATGAGTCATCGACACAGTTCACACATCAATAACCTCTAGAGAAAATGTGTTTAAGGGGGTACCCAACACTTTCACTAAAATAGATTTGGCTAGTTTAATTTTCATGAAATTTTGATAAAATAGTTACTTGGACCTGTTGATAGAAATATAAAAATTTCAAGAAATTTGAACCAAACAATTTACAGGAATAATTTCATTAGATTATAGCAGTTTGACAAACACTAATTTTGATCATTGAGAACTTTACTAATAGTATATGATTAAAACGTTCAGCTGATTTTTAAAGAGTTAACTCCCATTAAGTGTTTGGTACCCCCTTAATCCTTATAATTCTAAATCGGAACGTTATTTATTATTTCTTTTGATTTTAACTTTCTTTATAAGGCATCGTAAGTAGTTTCACCAACATAGTTTATCAAAGTGTAAACCTAGGAAAGAAACTTTAACGGACCAATCAAATTCAAGTATTTGTTGATAAGCAAATCATATAATAAGAATCAGCACACCGTGCAACCGAATTGTCATGATTCAATTAAAAAAAACGTCGAACAAGGTCACAAACCGACGTTTTGCTAAATATGGTAAAAATTAGTTATGCCTATATACAAATCTAAGAGTCTTTTAACTATTTGTGTATAACAAACAACGCATTAATGATTATGCTATCTCATAATGTTATATGAATACGATGTAAGCTGTGGTATTATTTAGGACGAAGAATTCTGTATGAAACATATAAGACCATATAACCAATTACGCGAAGAGAATCATTATTAACCTTATACGAAAACATATCTCCATTGCAAATGTATGTCATCTCATAACGTTATAGGAATACATGTCTACTTATAATGCTATATGAATACATGGCTTAATTGTTAATGTATGTCAACTTATAATGCTACATGAATACGTGTCTACTCATAACGTTATATGAATACATGTCTACTCATAACGTTATATGAATACATGTCTACTCATAACGTTAATTGAATACATGTCTTCTCATAAAGTTATATGAATACATGTCTACTCATAATGTTATAGGAATACATGTCTACTCATAACGTTATATGAATATATGTCTGAATTGCAAATGTATGTCAACTCATAACGTTATATGAATACATGTCTGCACGAATTGCAAGTGTATTGTCAACACATAACGGTATGGAAGTATAGGTTTGAAAAAATCTAAAAACAATACGAATTCATATCAACATTGCAATAGTCCACAACCCATAACGCCTACTCAACAACAAATTATGCTACTGCAAGTTGAAAGCATAATGCAAGTTGAAAATATAATGTGTTTTTACAACTAATTCTAAAATAAAGCAAATTCTCCAATATTGTATGATTAGCTGGAAATCAATGGAAACAGTGTTTTTTATTTCATCAGAATGCCCAGTAGTTCCTATTGAAATGTAATGGAAGAAACATGTCAACCTCAGATTCCAAAATATATATATTATCATTATAATAGTTATCAAAGTATAACAATTGCATAAAAGTAATTTGCAAAGTTTAGATGAGTAATAGAGAGAATACTGACATAAAGAGGTCTCTAAACACAATAAATCCAATGGAGCTTTTGTTGGTTGAAGTCATATTAATTATTTTAATCATCACCAGGCACTGTTAATTATGTGCTTTGACATTGCCTACTTTTTATTTGTCATAATTTTCCCCTGCTGATACACATAATTAATATGGCTTTAACTAATTTTGTTAAGAGACCTCTTTATGTCAGTATTTTCTATATTACTCATCTGATCTTTTCCAATGACATTATAGCTCAAAGCCCAAGCCTAGTGATCACCTGAACATGATGACTAATAGCTGGATTACGAACTTATGGTGTTTGACCTCATAAGAAGCAGTTGATTTATATGGAAAAATTTACATTGACACTTAGCCTTAACATTAAAAGGAGGATTGGAAGCTGAAATAATGCTTTCATTTCAAAGACTTGATATTTCAGCAAATTATAAGCCAAAAATCAAGATTACATGACTACTGTGTACGATAATTTAAATGAAGTCACAATAGAAGACAAAATGGTGGTTAGATGTTTAGCTCATTTATCCTATATCATCAGGTTTAATATTTACAGTAACAATCAAAACCAGTTAAATGAATTTGAAGGCTAAAACAAACCTTTCATTTAAAAGACTGGATATTTTGGCAAATCATAAGCCAAAACATCGACTGCATATAGATATAAGAAGATGTGGTATGAGTGCCAATGAGACAACTCTCCATTCAAATCACAATTTGTAAAAGTAAACCATTATAGGTCAAAGTACGGCCTTCAACATGGAGCATGACTAACATAGCTCATTTATCCTATATCATCAGGTTTAATATTTACATTAACATTCAAAACCAGTTGAATGAATTTGAAGGCTAAAACAAACCTTTCATTTAAAAAACTGGATATTTTGGCAAATCATAGGCCAAAACATCGACTGCATATAGATATAAGAAGATGTGGTATGAGTGCCAGTGAGACAACTCTCCATCCAAATCACAATTTGTAAAAGTAAACCATTATAGGTCAAAGTACGGCCGTCAACACGGAGCATGACTACCAAGTATGATAATCTAAATGAATGCACATTTTCTCAATAGAGGCCCAAATGTTGGTTAGATGTTTACTTATATATCATTAGGTTTAATGTCTATTGCAACATACCAAATCAGTTGAATGAAGATTACTGATGAAAATTCCACCAGATATCTAACTGAATGGATAAAAAATAATTATCTGGTAACGGATAACGAATAATTATACGGTAACTATATAAATAGTGTGCAACTGTAAATCCATCTTTCTTTCTCTGAAGAAGGACCATGAAGGACTAAAACCAGTCAGGCATCTATGAAGCATCACCAGGGGCTGTTAATTATGTGTTTTTGCATTACCTACTTTTTATTTGTCATAATTTAAAAAGTGTACAACATCTTAACACTACTTCATAATAGTCCTGAGCTCTACACTGGAGGCATATCTTTATCATGTAACAGTAATAAGAAATTTTTTATTCAATACAAAGTAAAATCTAGTAGATTCATAGTCTTCCCTGTTTGTATCAAAGAAATGGTACTTAGAAAACTAGTTGTAAAAGACCATTTTAATGATCAGGCCATCAATTTTCATATACCTGTAGTTAGATCCTGTCACCAATTGTATAAACTGATATTCTTTCTTTGCTGCTTATACAACATTTTTAACTTCCAAAACAGTCTTTTACTAAGATTTTTAAAATAATATTTTAAAATTTGTTCACAAGTTGTCAATTTTCTTTCAACTCTATTAACAGTCGTTTAGAAAAAGATACACTGTGAATTATTATTGCTCACTAGTTATATAGCATAACAATCCTCAAAATGTTGTTGACTCTTTTTTACAGTAATGAAATATGTGCATTATTTCTGACAGGAGTATTTATGATGTTTTTAAATAATAAAAAAAAATCCTTATGTCAGGACACTGTTTTTGTTTACTGGTTCTCAATATAATCAGATGGACAAGATGTCAAAGTCCATAGATAAAGGAAGATGTGGTGTGAGTGCCAATGAGACAACTCTCCATCCAAGTTACAATTTATAAAAGTAAACCATTATAGGTCAAGGTACGGCCTTCAACATGGAGCATTGGCTCACACCGAACAGCAAGCTATCCAGCCTATATAATATTAAAAATACATAATAAACTCGACCCAAAATATTTACTTAAATCGGTATCAATTGTTTATATTACAGCCATGAGAGCAAACTGTCTTCAGACAGAAAATCACTTGAGGAAAAAACAATAATATGCAACAACTTACCTCTGAATCCAAAAACACATGGCAATGTGATGGTTTTCCATCTCTCCCAGCTCTACCAATTTCCTGGACATAACTTTCAAAACTTTTTGGCATGTTGTAATGGATAACTCCTCGAACATTACTCTTATCCAAGCCCATTCCAAATGCCACTGTAGCTACCACAACTCTAAGTCTACCAGACATAAAGGCATTCTGTACTCTCTTTCTAGCAGCTGCAGACAGCCCTGCATGGTAACTTTCAGCATCCCAATAATTATACTGTTTCTTTCCACCTATTCAGGGAAAATTATATTTCAGTTTTGATTTCAAATGCAGCCTTCAACAATATCCTTGAATAAGCTTAATACATATATCAATATAAAAAAAACATTCCACAAGAGTCTTCATAAAGAGAATTTATCTCTCATGTCATGATTTTTTCATATACATAAAAGACTATACACCCTAAAATGTGTAACCTACTTTACTGATATGAATACTTTTTGCAGTTAAAACAGGTACTTACTATTTGCAAAGAACCATAAAAATAAGGTCAAGGTCATATGAACATTGGTATTATTATTTGGTTATGTACCTAGGTTTGTGTACTTCTTGATTCATTAATGCAATAAAACTTACACTTTAACAAACACAAATTCTGTTTAGTTTTAATTGTCAAATATGCCAAATAGAAAATCATAAATTCAACAACACATAAACAAAATAAGGAAAACTTATCATAGAAATAAGATGAATACAACCTAATATTCAATTTCATCATAAAATGATTTACTTTAAATAGTACTCCTAGGCTAACTGTGATATGTATTTCTAAAAGAATTTGTCATTTAAAAAAATAAATCAGTAAATATCTAATTAAGGTATATTATTAACTAGAATGATAATGTCTATTGGGTTTAAGTGTCATGTCATATATTACATACAACAGTTCAAGAAACGCAATAACTACACAAGTCAGGAACCATGTCAGTGGATGTTTGTATCGTAATATATTAAATATATTTTCTATCCATTAGGGAAAATTTGTTTATGCTAAAGTCTTACCCTAATGCCATTGCAATTGACAGAAGACCATCCCTTTACACGGTAGGTATAGTGTCAGGCAGATATTGTGTTTTTTCTAGTAAATCAGTCCACTTTTTTCGAGTGTAGATCAGGTTTTTCCGAGTGATATTAGATGCAATCAGATTGATTTACTGCTATTTTGCGAGTACAATAGTTTTATTTGTGACTGTTAAACATGATTTGAGCACAAACGAAGCACAATTACCTTATAGTTTACTTGTAATTCAGTGTTATATATTTTCCGTGTTTTTTCGAAAGCAACATTTAAAACATTTGGGTTTTTCAACAAATGGTCCAGGTTTTTTTTAAAGAAAAATGTGAATAAAATAGAAGACATTATTGGGATTAAAATAGACTTTTTCTTGTTTGTAACTGTAATCTAGCAAAGGACAATATTATATATTCTTAATAAGTCACAAACACATATTACTATGTTGATCAAATTTAACCTTTTCAATTTAATGATAACTTTCTGTTCTGAAAACATTTTGCCTTGCAGTATTATGATATATAAGAAATCACTGGACCTTTTTAAAACGGTCTTCAGAACTGAGTACAGGGACTCATAATCTTTTCAATTTCATTTCCTGCATGCTACGTTTGTTTTTACAGTCAATAATATGCTATGATCAATATATATTACAGTGACGAAAAAACATAGGAGCAAGAAAACTAAGGAAAAGCCGGTCGAAAGAGGACCTAAGAGACCATATTTCTATTCCCTAGTCCCCTTGGAGGTAAACAATTTTAGAAAGGTTTGTTATAAAATCATATCAGTACTGAAGTACTGACTACTGAGCTGATGATAAACTCGGGAACTTATCCAATGTATTTAATTGAACAACGAAATGAATAATCTGTAAGTTTTATTCGAAACTTTTAAAATAATAGAAAAATAAATGTGTATATTATATCCTTACACATTCACAAATATACATTGTCAATTTTTATTCTTTTAATTTCTTATGAAAATGAAGTTATAATTGTGCTTTATTTCTTTGTGAATAAGAATAACATATGCTTGATCGGACTCCTCTTCACAGAAGGAGCATTTGAACACTGTTCTTGATTTCCATTTCTGGAGCAATAAAACATATTACCATCAAGACAAATAGTAAATGAAACATTTAGGATGTATTTTCAGTTAAACAAACACACATTTACCCACTTTACATACTATGTACATGTATGTCTCAATCCAACATGCTAGAGCTCACATAGAGATTGTTTACATCTAGAAATATTTACTGTATGAAATCCATATCAGTACACTAACATAAAGATTTCTGAATACAATTGAGCGAGGCTTTTTTATGAAATGTACTAGTTAATACAGCATTATCAAACTGGTTTTATGCATTGTTTCATGCTTTGAAAAGTACTTTATTTGAACCTTTTCATTGTTTTTTAAACGTAAATCCACTGACATATTACATTTTAAGCCATAGGAATTTAGTTTTTTTCATTCGATAAAACAAGGACGCACTCGAAAAAACATGGACTGCTCTCGAAAAAACGCAGACATATACAAATGAATTTACTCTCCAAAATGTCCTTTTTAATGCGAAGACAAAGTGTCTGTATATCTAAGGATATATATATACCATGTATGCAATTATGTTGACATTTTCATTGGTATGTAGTCTAAAATTGGCTTCAATCTATATTTTGGAATAAAGCATTGTAAAGCTAAATTCAACATTTTTAAAACAAAATAATGTAGGGCTGATAATATCTTTTTATCACCAATACTAATTTATTTTCTATGATCTTGTATATAAGGTTCTAGCATATTTCTTTTATATCTTTCCAGAAAGGAAGTCTGTTTGTTTATATATTTTATCATATTCACTCGAAAAAACGTGGTCACACTTGAAAAAACCAGATCAAACCACTCGAAAAAACATGATCCAAGACGGACACTATACCTACTGTCTAACATTTTGGCAAGACACAAACAACGTTATTTTTCATAAAAAAAAATTCATGAGTATATAAAATATAGGACAACCCTATGTATTTTCCTTTTTTTTTAATTTTAGTGCTAGGAGAGTTGATTATTATTTGTTAGGTACTTGAGGTCTTTTGACTTCTAGGTTCAGTAATACAAAAAAAAATTAACTTGATCAAACATTAATTCTGTTTCATTTCAATTGTCAAATGTGCCAATTACATAAAATTATAAATTCAACAACACACAAATAAAATAAAGAAAACTTCTTATAGAAATAAGATGAATACAACCTGATATTCAATTTCATCACAAGATCATATCAAAATCCTATTTATGATTTACTTTAACTAGTACTCCTGGGGAAACAAAAGAATATGTCATTTAAAATAATAAATCAGCAAATATCCAATCAAGTTATATTATTAACTAAAATTGTTATTTCTATTGGGTATAAATGTCATCTCATATATTACATACATCAGTTCAAGAAAGGCCTTTATAAAAAATAACTACATTTTCCTGTCTTAAGTCAGGAACCATGTCAGTGGTTGCCTGTATTGTAATATATTATGTTTTTTTTTGTCCATTAGGGAATTTGGTGCTGATAGCACATCTTTGATAAGGTTTGTTAAAGTTATTCTCAATTTTTCTAGAAAGGGGTTATTGAAAACTTGACATATCACATAGACATGGGTCTTCTGTTGAAGATTATATGTCAGCCATAAAATTAAATCAAAGTGATGGAAATCACTCATGGGAAGATTGGAAGAGTAGTTTGAATAATTTCAAATTATATTTAAGTATCTAAAAAGAACATTAATATAGCACTATTGTAGACAATGGTCTTTAGATGGAAAAGCACTTTTTCAGTAGATAAAATTAACTAAATATGAATCAATGAGAGTGGGTCAACAACTTCGTTTAAATTGCAATTAATATCGCGTTACATGTTTCACCTTTTACATTTTATATTTAGAAGCAGAAGAAACTACTAAATAAAGATGTTTATCTAATAATCTTTATCAATTATCCTTGTAGGACATGGGGCCAACAAATAGACATGCTAAGATCTTTATTGTCTCAAAAATTAATCCAATAAGTTTTTTTGGGGGACATTTTGTAAGTTGAAACATAGGAATATTTTACTCCTTTAAAAATTGCTTATATATTTTGAAAACAATTTTTATGATTATATGAAACTGAGGATTACAAGTTGAAGGGTGTATTTTAATTAATTTATAATTTAAAATTTTCAGAAAAGGGCATTGAAAATGTACTTTTTCAACATAAACAAATTAAAAAATCTTAATTTATTGAAATGGGGATTCATTCGTCATTGCAAAAATATACTTCCTGTATTCAAATAACTAATATTGTTCAAAGAAATTTGATGGGGAATAAAGTAAAAAAAAAATTGGTTTGCTCAGTTACAAATTTTGAAATTTAATTACTGTTTCAAGCCAATCACTGATAAGTCTAAGCTAAATTATTGATTCATTAGATGATTATTGCATAAATTCATCAAGTAAAGTATAGACTTTACTTTATTATTTTGTCTTTTCTTTTCACTAAAAAGATCTTGTTAATCGTTAAATCATTTTTCTTTCAGACATAATTTATAGAATCATTTTATGTAGTGTAGATCAAAAGTAATAGGCAATGAATAAATCTATCATTTCTATATATCAAACATCTAATATACATTTATGTAATCAATAATGAGGTCAAGTATTTGTGTATTGAAATGTATAAAGAAGGATCTGCTTAATTATGTAAGACTGAGGTTAATTAGGAATTGGGTCAATATGATTGGCATTTAAGGAGGTGGGACATTCTAATTAAGCCCCACCTTTTCTCTGATTGCTTGGTGATCATGGCAGTTGTCAATTATGCTGGTAATGTATCATTACTCTTCACTAATTAAAATGACAAAACTAGCCTGTAAATTGACAAAACTAAAGACACATATACTTGAATGAACTGCTCCAAAGATATAACCCAAAATTTTCACAGTTCATTAGTGCATATGTACAATAGGCATGAGAATTACAAGGAACTATATTTTAGTGTGTATACATTCTGTAGATTTAGTAGCTAACCTGTGCTACTTCATGTTTGGGAGGCCGGTGCCTTAGGAAAGACTTGGAACAATAGTTTCAATCTTTCCAAAAAAGTAAAATATATAGGATTGTCTGACATTTTATATTCTCATGAATTTTCTTGTATGAAAAATAATGTTGTTTTTCTAGCCAG